TATTTTGCATCATGCAGGGAAGCACAAGTTGTTGGAGATTTTATTGGATGGGAAGGTTCCAACTACCAGATGGAAAAAAATCAATTTGGCGTTTGGAGCATAAAAATTCCAGATTCCGAGGGAAAACCTGTTATTCCCCATAATTCAAAATTCAAGTTCAGATTCAAGCATGGTGATGGAGTTTGGGTAGATAGGATTCCTGCTTGGGTTAAGTATTCCACTGTAGACCTAACACATTTGGAGCACCATATGACGGCGTGCGTTGGGATTCTTCACCTTCAGAAAGGTGCAGTTTCTTCAGATTTTATTTGATTTATATTTTTACTCATGATTTCATTTAAAGTAAAAAAAACATAGTTAGCAGTCAACAAAAGTGTTGTGTCTAGGCCCAAAAAAGGGGAAAAAGAAGAAGAGACAACAGTATGGTGCAGGGTTCTGGACATTGTAGTACTTGCGTATTCTTTTAATCCAGAATTTAAAAAACATTACTGAAATCAGTTTGATATCGCTTGAGATTGGAAACTTGCTGCCTTATTCTTTTTTTTTTTTGGATAATTAAAATATATTCAATGCACCAGCCGAGAATGCCTTATTCTTTTGATATTGCTGATTTTATAATTTTAATACATGTTACCTAGAAATTGTTCCTTTTAATGTACACTTCATTGATAATGCAGGTATGAGTTTAAGTACCCTCGTCCTCCAAAACCTAAAGCCCCAAGAATATATGAAGCGCATGTTGGAATGAGTAGCTCAGAACCACAAATTAGCACATACAGAGAATTTGCTGATGATGTTTTACCCCGAATTAAGGCAAATAACTATAATACTGCACAATTAATGGCTGTAATGGAGCACTCCTATTATGCATCATTTGGATACCATGTTACAAACTTTTTTCTGCAAGCAGTAGATCTGGAACTCCTGAGGACCTCAAATATTTAATTGATAAAGCTCACAGCTTAGGTCTACAGGTCTTAATGGATGTTGTTCACAGCCATGCAAGTAACAATGTCACTGATGGACTCAATGGCTTTGATGTTGGCCAAAGTTCACAGGAATCGTATTTTCACACTGGAGAAAGAGGTTACCACAAGTTATGGGATAGTCGACTGTTTAATTATGGTAATTGGGAAGTCCTTCTCTTCCTCCTTTCAAACTTGAGGTGGTGGCTTGAGGAGTTCAAATTTGACGGGTTTAGGTTTGATGGAGTGACCTCCATGTTGTATCATCACCACGGTATCAACATGGCATTCACAGGGAATTACAACGAATATTTCAGCGAGGCTACTGATGTTGGTGCTGTTGTTTATTTAATGCTGGGCAATTCTCTGATACATAACATCTTGCCGGATGCGACTGTAATTGCTGAAGATGTTTCTGGTATCCCTGGACTTGGTAGGCCAGTCTATGAAGGGGGAATTGGTTTTGATTACCGCCTAGCAATGGCCATCCCTGACAAGTAGTTTGATTACCTGAAGAATAAGAATGATGAACAGTGGTCAATGAAGGATTTATCCTGGAACTTGAAAAATAGGAGACACTGAGGAGTGTATATCCTATGCTGAAAGTCATGATCAGGTATAAACAGTGAGGGATTGTTTTTCTCACCAATCTATTTCTAAATTTAGTTAAATCATTTCTTCATGAGACACCAGAGCTTCTTTTCCTTCGGACTTCGTTTTTCTCACTTTTGGATGATGACAGAAAGAGATAAAACATAAAGAACGCTTGAGCAATAAAATGCTTACTGTCCTCTTTCTTATCTCCTCTATCCCTACGCAAAGCCTGAAAGGATGTAAATCATAAATGTTTAATCATAGCGGATCTCCTTCCCTGAATCTGACACCACATTTGCACTTCTTAATGTTTCCTTTCCTTTAATTGTTTGTACATTTTGCCATTTGTCACGTTTCTCTGATACCACTCTTGTTTGGTGCAGTCTATTGTTGGTGACAAGACAATAGCATTTTTCTTGATGGACAAAGAAATTTATAAACTTTTCTCTGTTGTTTCCTTAATGTCTTTCCTTGATGAATTATAGCAACCATGAATCCCTGAGTTGTTCTGAAAACTGCAAATATGGAACTTTGATTATTTTGTTCAGCCATCATATTTTGCGTCAGCATGGATCATTTTCTTTTTTAATTCATTATTTGTTACTTTCTCACCCTTAACATTTTTCCTTTATTTAAAATTTCTTTTGCAGATGATACATTGTATCACTAGGGCACTAGGAGGAGAGGGCTACCTTAATTTTATGGGAAATGAGGTAAACATTCTGGCTCAACTTTTCATACTGGACAGTACATCAATATTTTTTCTGGTGGATATTGGAGATAATATTAAGTCTAGGAAAGTAGGATGAAGCGATGAAGATCTGCCCAGTTCATTTAAGTAAAAAAAACACTAAAAAAAGGGAGTGATAGGATATACATGTCTAGAGGGCAATTTTCTAATATAAGGGTTTGTTTTCTCTTTTAACAAATAAGTTTAGCTTATATCTCTTCTGCATGTTTGTACAGTTTGGACATCTTGAATGGATTGACTTTCCGAGAGAAGGCAATGGGTGGAGTAATGAAAAGTGCAGAAGACAGTGGAACCTGGTGGATACCGATCGCTTAAGATACAAGGTCCATGATCATTTTCCTTGTTAAGAATTTGTTTAAGTTTCCGTGCATTTTTCCACTGGGCAGATCATTGTGAAAACGCAAACACTGCTCACCTGCCTTTTTAACTTTGAAGGCATCAGTATAATCTATTTTATAAACTGAAGTTTCTTCACTAGTAATCATTGTTGTATCTTACTTTTTTATCTTTCTCCATTCAGGAGTGCTTTGCTCCTCCCATGCAATCTTTACCTAAACTTTCCCCTTTGCATTTGGCTTTGCAGTTCATGAATGCATTTGATAGAGCTATGAATGCACTTGATGATAAATTTCATTCCTTTCATCGGCAAAGTAGATGGTGAGCTGCGCTGATGAAGAAAACAAGGTTAATCTGCAATTGCAGTTGGTGCCTTGGTGGTTAGAGTAAGACCATTGCAGCAGTCCATCTGAAATACATGCACATTGTTGTTAATGAAAGTTATTTGACATTGTTAGCATTGAACTTCTAAATTTTAGAAATATCAAATTGCTTTTTTATCACTCTCTTTTTGATGGCTATTGGAAAACCAAAAGACTGCAATGGCCAACAAACAAGATTATTATTTCCTTGTATGAGTTTCAAACAATTATGGTATAATGGATGGTTTCTTGTTTTGTCATCATGCTGGTGCATCTTTGTTCTTTCTTCTTTTTACTTCCAACGGATAGAGATAATGGCACTACACCCTTGTTTAGTTCTTCTCTGCCTTATAACCTTCTGTTGCCATGTTTTAACCATTTCAGTTTGGTGGATTCGATAATGATTTCCTGATTTAGGTTATCGTCTTTGAGAGGGGAGATCTTGTTTTCGTGTTCAATTTTCATCCAGAAAATACATATGACGGGTATGTATGTTTCAAATGATGACGACATATATTTTTTACTTGTGTTTGTACAAGGAACCATTCATGGATGGAGACTACTCATCTATATATGCCAGAAAGTAATTACTTGCACCTTAAAACTCTTCGAGTGACTATTGTGCGAAACATGCAGGTACAAAGTGGGGCGTGATTTGCCAGGGAAGTATAGAGTTGCGTTGGATAGTGATGCTTGGGAATTTGGTGGGCATGGAAGAGTAAGAAACTCCTGCTGCTGTTGTTATTCTTGCCTATTTCTTTTGATATAAGAGTCATGTTCTCTAGCTTGTTTTCTTCCATATAATTGGAAGTCTACAGCTACTAATTTCGTGAACCTTTATGGGGACATGAAAACAACTTTGATTGTTTCCTTGGGTCTAGGAATGGGTTGTGGTCTGCTCCTGTAAGTTGGCAACCACAATTTGTCTACCCCGATACCGGCTGCTAATGAAGCAGTAGCATCTAAAGTCTCTCTTTCTTATCCATGCATTGTTTTCTCTCCTGGTAATGCTATATAATTAGTTATTCTGGTAGGTGGCTCATGATGTGGACCATTTTACATCTCCTGAAGGAATTCCGGGTGTGCCTGAAAATAACTTCAACAATCGCCCTAATTCTTTCAAAGTACTGTCACCTGCTCACACATGCGTGGTATGATTATCTCTTGCCGGTCTTTCTGAATATATTGTTTCATTTATATCCATCACGGCCTACTAACAAGTCAATTGTTTTTCTTTTAATTGGCATGAAAATGCACCTGCCTTCCTACTTATCATACTTTGCATGGGATAATTGTGTATATTTAGTATTGTGCACTTAGGCTTATTGGAACTTTGTAAGGTCTTAGTACCTTCCATGGAAGGAAAACTTAGACTGACAGATCACTTACAAATTTCCACAGGTTTATTATGAAGTCGACGAAAGTCTTAAAGAAACTAATGACGCCAACTTAAGTGGTGTCGATGAGACATCAAAAGTCGACACACCAGAGCAGGAGAAAGTTGAAGAGTCAACTATCTTGGTAGGTGATCAAATCTGTGCCTGTTTGTATGGCCGCTTAGCCAGATTTCTTAAAATTCTTCCCAGGTAGCTCACGGAGCTGAACAGAATCCAGGAGAAACTAATGACCATTGCTTGGGCAGTGTTGATGAGAAATCGCAAAAGTACGGAGCAAACCGGGAAAGTATTGAAGAGACAGCTTCTGTTGTAGACAAAATGATTGTGGCTAATAAGCTAAATGATCCTGAAGTGGAAGAGACGGAGGAGAACTGAATGTCAGATGAATAAGCTTTTCGGCTCCCACACAAATCTACCGGACGGATTTGATTACTGAAGCCTAAGCGCCTAACTTTTGTTTTGTGAATAATAATAGTATTTGGACCGAGTAAGCATGGGATTTTATTTTGTTTTGCAGTTGTAAATATTATGTAGATAACAACAATAGTCTGCTTTGCTTACAGTGCGCAGCAACAAAATGTAATAAGCCTGAGTGAATGCATTATGTTCATATTCATTCTAATATTGTCTGGAGTAACCAGAAACCAAACACACTAGGGAGATCGAAACATCTGTAGTCTATATTCAAACCTTCAAAATTACTTGATATTGAAGAAGAAAAATCCCGAAGTCCCAATTTTCAGAGCTTATCAACTCTTCTAGCCGCTGTTTTTTTCTGAGTGGCAGTGACTGACACAGGAAGAGGAGGCTTCTTATTCTCTTTGTTCATGCTTCGTAGCAGATACCTTGGAGTCTCCATCTCCATTGCTGACTTCCTCAGGCTCTCAAGCTTCTTCGACGACCCTCTTCTCTTTGAAGATTCAACTGTTACTCCAAGATGATATTGATGCCCCGTCTTTGGTTCGTTCTCAGTTTCACCCTTCTTTCTCTTTAGCCTCTCGTTTCTCCTCGACGAGTACTCGTCGTACAATCGGCCCCTCTCAAACACCGGACAAGATTTGTTGGCCCTGAGAATAGTCTCCTCGCCTGAACCAGCCTTCTCATTTTCCTCATTCCCGAGTTCATCTTTAACTTTCCGAGCCAAAGCCCGTAACTCGCAAGAAAAAGAGAGGTACTCGGGTCGGATTTGAGTTTCTTCAACGCCCCTTGCATGAATTGGATTCTGGGATTTCTTTAAAGTACCTTTAACCAAAAAAAAAAATAGATGAAATGAAAAGAAAATTATTTATAGTTTTACAGTAAAATGAATCAAAAAATGGTTACCAGTTCTTGAGTGGAGATAACCTGGTGGGGTTAGCAGAGAGGTGGAGTTTGTTCGGAGGGAGCGGCGGGGACGAAGACGGATAGGCGATTTAGGAGCAAGCGGTGGCTTCCGATCATATTTCATCTTCGACATGATGATTGAAAGATATCTTTAGATATTTTTTCTTTTCTTCTTCTTGCAAAATGGAACTGCGGAGATTCAAAGAGGGAAACAGGGTAATGACGAAAAGTTTACATGTTTGAAATTTAAATTTGCCTTGATGAGTGAGCGTTTCAAACGGTCATATCCAATTATTTGATCCGGCGATCTACAGTTAACTCGGTGATTAATTTATTATTTTTTCCTATTTTCTCACCTAATTAAAAATTTAAACAAAAATATTACTATTCAAGTGTAGAGGTAGGTATACGGGCTACCCGCCCGTTTAGCCCGCGGATTTTGACGGTGCGGGTTTAAACGGAACGGGTTAAAAAGCCCGCATTCATAAACGGTTTTAAATTTTAAGGCCCGTGTCCCGTCCATTTAACCCGCGGGCTAAACCAGCTTACCCGCGGCACTTTAAATTGAAATAATTTTAAATACTTTAAATGCAATAAAAAATAATGTTTTAACTTACTAAACCTTTAAAAATAATCGAGCAAGGTAGCACCGTTAAAATAATAAATAATATTTAAATTTTATTTTAAATAGCCGGAAATGATTATAAAATAATATTTTTTTAATTTTTTTAATCATTAATATATATATATATATATATATATATATATATATATATATAATGATATAATTACTTAAACTCAAATTTAAAAAACCAATATTAACTTATATCACCAAATTGAAAAACAAATAAAACAATAACCACATTATACTTTTATAAAACACGATTATTCAAGGCTATAATATGAAGACACAGAAGTGTCTGAAAGCAGAAATTCAAACATAAAAATTCAACAAAGTCAAACATTATACAAATCTAACAAGAAAGATGTCAAGTGATCATAATAATTGTATTTTATAGATACTTTAGAGAAATACTAAAAACATAATATTATACAAATCTAACAAGAAATTTTTTCTTTTACTTTTCTTTCTTATTTTTAATCCAAATATTACGTGTCATGTGATATATTATTAGAATATCACATGACTTTTTATAATTAAAGAACAAAATAGATAACATACTTCATGGAAAAAAAATAAAAGTCAAAATTAAATAAAAAAATATTTAAATACCAAAATGATAATGATGTATATTTAAATGAAAAAAATATCAAACAACGGTAAAATTATAACAAACGCCCTAATAAATTGAAGAACTACAATAGTTATAAGTAACATCATATTTATAGGTAATTTATTTTCTTTTTCTATAAAATTCTTTAAGTTTATTTTCTCTAAAATTTTATGAATTTTAAATTAAGCGGGCTTTAGCGGGTTTCACGGGTAGCCCGCGGTTATACCCATTAAACCCGCGGGTTTAACGGTCCGGGCTAAAAAGCCCGCAATTTAAACGATCTTCAATTTTTGAGGCCTGAAGCCCGCACGGGTCGCGGGTTAAACGGGTAGCCCACGGGCCTTAGCCCATATACCCAGCTCTACTCGAGTGTGTTAGGTATGTGATTCAAATCAGGTCTAAAAGACCGGGTCAGGTTCATTTCGGGTTGTTTAGGATATAGACTTAAACCGGGTCAGGTTCAGGTTGGGTTCATGTTGATCAGGTTTCGATTTTATTCAGGTGTTCAGTAAGTCGGGTCGATTTGAGTATCGAGTTAGGTCAATATTAGATAAGTTAATTTTCAATTCAAGTCAATACCAGATCGGTTGATTATGGGACAAATCAAATTGAATCGATTAATTTTCGGGATGAGTCAATATTTGATCAATTATTTTTGGTTTGGATCAATTTTGGATCTTCGGGTTAGTTCGAGTTGAGTTGGGTATGAGTCAAATTAAGTATATATAAAATTATTGATATATTTTTTTTTTATAAAAACATGAGATTTTTTAAAATCTTATTATCTTTGTTCAATTTCATCAATTTCAATTATCATTTACGGATTATAATATAACGTAAATGCGACCAATAAAATATGTTAGAGTTTATGGTTTTTTATTGACCCGAGTCGAAAAGTTTGTAGTACGATCTATTTGATTAAAAATAATTTTTTTAATTATAAATTTTAAAATTAATAATAATATACTATTTATGTTTGAATAAATATTATTTTAAATATATTTATAAATGATATTATATAATACCATCGATAATATTTTAATTTTTAATTATAAATAGAATAATAGATATCTTTTATTGTAAAAAAAATTATTTGTGCAGTATAAAAATAAGTTATTTTTATATTAAGTTTAAATAATTGTACTTTTTCATATGCAAAGGAATTAAAATAATTTGTAAATTAATTTAATAGTTTTGGAAAGTTATTTTAGTAGTTCTAAAGTAAAATATTACATTTATAATTTATAATTTGATTTAAATAAATTAAAATCTATTTAATAATTTTGAATCATTAGGTAATAGAACCAAAATGAAATATTGAATTAAATAAATTATTATTTAAATGATTTAAAGATTAATTTAATATTTTGATTCATTAATTAATGAAATCTAAAATAAATATTAAATTAATAAATTATTATTAAATAAAAATAAAAAATTAAATAAAGTTTAACATAAATTACGAGATGATAAAGTTATTATTATTTTACTGAATTAGAATAAGATTATATAAAAATATTTAATGGAGAAAAATTAATTTCATCATAATTATTTATTAATTAATTAATTATAGATTAAATTAAATTTAGATTTATTTAATTATTATATATTTAATTAGGTATGTGAATTTTAAATTTAGATATTTAATTAATAAAAATAATTAAAATTCAAATCAAATCAAATAAATAATTAATTATGTACTTGGATTTTATTTTAATAGTTTATTATTTAACACAATGCTAAAAAAATAGATAATAATAAAAATAAAATATTTATACACTTTAACTCAATTATCGGGCACAAATTAACTTACCTCAGTGATTAATGGAATTGTTGTTGTTTCTAGAGGTCACGAGTTCGAGCACTAGATGCTGCAGCAGGGTGATTGAGCGTTCATTGTACGTTGAGAGTATTTAAAATAAATACTACTTTGTAATAACCTTAGCTTAATAAAAAAATAACTCATTTGTCATGTTAAAATTAGGTCAGTGTTTGGTTCATATCATGTTTGGGTAAATTAAATACGTGTTATTTTCGGTTTGGTTGGTTTTGGGTCGGTTTAGGTTCGGTTCGGGTTACTTTCGGTTCTATTAAAATACGGGTTGATTTTAGTTCGATTCGGTTTTTTGGGACTTCGGATCAAATTTATATCATTATGTTCAGATCTATTTCAGGTCTCGATTCAGATAATTGAGTCGGGGTCAAATTTACCGGCTATTAGCCCAATCCCTAGTCTAGATAAAAATTCTGTTAATCTTTTATTAAAATTTATTTATATTATATTACCAATTTAAAATTATATTGATACTTGCAAAGTTAATAAAAGATTTGATTCTTTTGTAAAGGTTAGATATATCTCAATTATATTTTTTGCATAATATAAAACAATGATTCAACTAAGATATGTTATATCCTTTTAAAATTGGTCCAGTACAAAGTTTGGAAAAGACTCAAGTCAGTTCTCTCTAATCAATCCGCTATGGTTAGATCCTGCTAATTCTGCTATCTTGTTTTAACTTCTTACCACATATTAAATCTTTACCTCTGATTTTATTGTAATAATCTCCAACAACTTCTGCTATTGAGTTCCCTTGATAACCTTTACCTCAATTATATTTTGATATAATATAATTTAGATATAAATTTTGATAAAAGATCAATAAAATTATAGGTAAACTATTGGAATTGTCATTTATCTTTTATATTTATACATTTTTACTCACTAAATTAAAAAAAACTTCAATTTTAGTCATTTACGTTATCATTTTATTAAGTCTTTTCCGAAGTAGTGCATTGTTAGTTTGATGAATGACATGTAATAAAACGGTTTAGTTTTTATTTTAACTCCTGAAATTGAGATAAAATATAAATTATAATTTTTTTTTATAAATTTAAAGTAGTTTAGGAACAAAATTTTAATTTATCTATTTTTTTTCAATTTACCCATTATATATTTATATTTTAAAACTAATAAATGCAATATTGTTTTTCATGAATAGAATCTCCCATCGAGATGTGGCATTTCTCTATTAATCTACACTAATTTCTTATTTTCTGCTATACCGTTGATATATAACATGACCTTCATGAGCTAGAAGCTGAGGACATCGTCTGTTAGGATATTTACAGCAGTCTGTTTTGAATTGGTTATTTTGTTAGCATCATTATCATTGTTATTCTAACACCTTCTGTTGTAAAAAGCCTTCTATAAAAGGCTACCTTGATTTTCAAATAAGAATAAGTACTTTTCAGAGTTTATTCCACTATTTGACGTGGTTTCACTCACTTTGTATCCTGAGGGTTTTATCACTTCCGTTGGTTATTTCTAGTGATGTCTATCTTGATTCTTCCGGTGCCGGTACGGTTGCGATTGATGGATTGAGCTCGTCGGCCTCTAAACTCCTCATTAATAATAACGTTAGCATCGTCCTCGATGAGTAAATTTTTCTTTTGTGGAAACGACAAGTTCACTACAGCAAAAGTGTTATGTAGCGTCGTTTTTAGTGGCGTTTTAAGGGAAAATGCCACAAAGTTTAAGCATATCACGGCTTTTAAATTCCAAATGCCACAAAATGATACTTTAGCGGTGTTTTTTAAACAAACGCCGTAATAGAGTGGTAATTTAGCGGCGTTTATAGCAAAAACGCCGTAATAGATACATTTATAGTGGCGTTTTTTTAACAAACGCCGCAATAGAGTGGCAATTTAGCGGCGTTTTTACACAAACGCCGTGATAGTGTTATTTATAGTGGCGTTTGTTTAACAAATGCCGCTATAGAGAAGAAATTTAGCGGCGTTTATAAAACAAACGCCGCAAATAGTATTGTTTATAGTGGCGTTTATGCAAAAAATGCCGTAATAGATTAATAATATAGCGGATTTTGTAGGAAAACGCCGCAATATGTTGTTTATCGTGGCGTTTTTATAAAAACGCCACAAAAATATGCACTACAGTGGCATTTTTTCAAAAAACGCCGTAAAAGGGT